CTTTAAAGCATCTTATTTTCAGACATTAATACTGTGCTATCCAACTAAATTGCTCAGTTACTTCAAGCCAACAGCTCAGGGACAGGAATTATTTTTATTTATTTTTATTTCATTTATTTTTATTAAATTAATTTTGTTGCATTTAACCATAAATTTAAAGTTTACCAATGATACTGTATAAGAAACAAATTTCATGTTAAGTTAAAAAAAACTTTTTTTTTTGGGAGGGGACCTCCGCTGGCGGGCCACACGGGAGTCACCCCGTGCCTTGTGTTTGACACATGTGCTCTAGATCAGTGGTTCCCAAACTTTTTGTGTTTTGACCCACAAAATATTCATGGCAAAAACTTGTGACCCCAAATATTACTGGTCTGAGTRCATGAACTTCATTAATAACCCTAAAAACACAGGCTTTTTGACAATATAAACAGCTTGTACACACATATAAATACTTATTTTTACTTATTTTGTATTCTTGTAATAATTATAGGAAAAATATTACATCAGCAATTATTTTATTACCCTTTAAATTGATTTCTGCAGATTATCCAAGGTGCTTCATGACACATAATTGGGTCCCAAGCCCAACTTTGGGAACCAAAGTGCAGTGGTTCCCAAAGTTTTCAGCTTTTGACCCACAAAATAACAGTAGCAGAGACCTGTGCCCCCAACTATTTTTGGATGATAAACATTTGTATCAGGTCAACTAAACATGGGCATAGTAACAATATTTTTATACTACATTTATCCATTTTAAATATACTAACCTCACTCCTTTGTAACAACAAAGGCAAAAATGTAATTTATTCAGAAAATATTTTCAGGACCCCACCTTGATGTTTCAGGACCCCACTTTGGGTCCCGACCCCAACTTTGGGAAACACTGCTCTAGATCAATACCTCCTTGTGTATAATGGTTGTATTAGCCGCCTATTGATTTGTGATTTACACTGTATTGGAGACTAAGCAGAAGATTCCACGACAATTGTAACCATGTATGACTGACTCCAGAAATTTATTGGGATTATTAGGCAATTAGTGGCAAATACATGATTAGAAGTGGAATTYGATTTGAATACATGTACCTGCGTCATTGCCGGCTGTGGTTTGATAGGTTTGGTGTGAGTGTTGCTGTAGGAATATGAGCGAAGCAACAAGGTCGCCCGTTTATTTAAACCGCGCSATATTGTGGCAGAAATGTGGCCTGTGATTTTTTTTTTCTTTGCTACACTTCCTGTAAGCTTCAAATGTCGGTACGCTTTCCTCCCGGGCTCTTTGTCACTCTCTCAATCTCCTTCTCAGTCTCTGCATTTATCCACTTTACCTCTTGTTCCCTCGGCCCCGGCCTACCTGCTTTGCATTCTGTTCTTTGAGAGCTTCCTCTTAGTCGTCCGTCTGCGCTGAAAAGTGACTCTCTCTGAAAAGCTGTTTAATTTCCTCAGCATTGTAGCATCCGTTATTTGTGATTTAAAAAAAACTAGTATCATGACAGTGCCAATGTCAAAAAGGTTATGCCTGCTCGTCTAACACCCACAAAGATCATCAGCTGACTGGTTGGTTGGAGATGAGTCTAACAGCATGAGTCTGGTAACTGGAG